ATATGTAAACGAACGAACTCAAATCTTTGCTATTATTGAAAAGATTAATTAAGGAAAAACAATCGTTTCATATTGTTTAGTGTTTGTGTTCACAATAATTTCCGTTAAGCTTTTTTCATTTTTTAATTATGAAAATTTAATTGAAATTCGGAATTCAATCAGTCAATTAATTAATTAATGAATTTGATACAAACTTTTGATAATAAACTTTGTAATATTTCTTCTTTTTCCAAATGTTTTTCTTAACTGTCATAGAAATTTTGCCTTTTCTTTCTGTCAAACTTTTAAGATTTTTCCAATTATAATTAAGTGCGTGGAAAAGTTTAAAGTAATTGTTATTGTTTTAGAAAATTTTTCATTTACATACTTATTATTGTTGCAGCAATTAAAAGCTATCGAACAATTTTTTATATACAACAAATTTTCAACTTTAAAAATCATTCCAATTCTTAATTCTTAGCAAATAATGAACAGAGAGGAGTATATTATATACAATATAACTAAAGTATAGTTTATCGAATTTCAACAAATACAATTTCTTATCAATGATCATACAAATAATATGTGATAAGGCTTTTATTATTTAGATGATAAAATTTTATCCTCTCAATGCATATTATTTTGCTAGAACTTTTTTCCCAACAAATATGAAGCAGCGAATGTTAGATGAAATAATTTAGTGATATTTATAAATTTATCTGATAGCTCGATAATTTATTTAAAGTTACGCGGTTACTAATCTATAGTATCAGATACAGTAGTACTAATTGAATGTTTAAAATATCCGATAATAAAGTGAAAATAATCGTATGTCATTTATTGAATTACTCACTTAATACCATAATGATAAGCTTATATTTTTCTATTTCATTATTGATAAACAAATGGACTATTTTCACTTACGTATTTATCATAATTCAAAAATGCATGAATAAATAGCTTAATCATTAAATTTGCAAAACGAAATAAATGATTAAGTTCTATTAAACCTCTTAATGTATGCCTTATTTGCATAATATTGTTTGTATGAATTTGTCCTTGTTTATTAACTAAAATTTTTCAGTCCTTATAAAATGCCATTTTATTGTTTGAACTGAATTTGAAATCATTCCTTGTTTATCACTCTATCCCTCTGCTACTGTATTATCTTCATCACTTCTCTACATTTGGTTATCAAATTGAAATAAGTACCAAAATTTAAATTATCCAACTGATTCAAATTAAATTAATTCATCTTCTTGTTTGTATGTTTTGATATCTTTTCAGAATTCTAACATTCGTTGAACATTCGTTATTAATAGGTAAAATTTGTCCAATAATTGAAAAGTAATCTAAGATCGCATATTTGCTCATTACATTAACCTCTTAGATTATATCAATTAATTTAATCCTTTATTTCTCATTTCTCCAGCAATATTTCTGCATATTTACTGCTATTACTTGAAAGAGAAAAAACCTTATCTATTATCTGTCAAATGATAACGATAACCTCACTTAACATTTTGCTGACTGTCGTGTTTCAAGCTTGTTTCATCCAAATTACTCCCGCCACACTTGCCGCAATTGATATTCAGGTTTGAATACTTTTTGTTAATTAGAAATTGAAAATAGAAATGCTGAAATTTAAATTTTGGTTGCTTCTTTCTACTGGAATTAAGTTCTACTGGAACCTTAGCCAAGATCTGAAGGAAAATTATATGAATTACATGAATTATCTTAAATGAAATTTAAAATCATTAAAATAAGTTATCATCTCGAGCATCTCGTATCACATCAGTAATAGGCCTTATCAACAATAAAGTGTAGTAATAGGCCTTCTTCAATTTAGTCCATAACTAATCTCTTCATAATTTATCATTCTATTTGTATAGATTCGAAATGATAAACATTTCGCAGCTTATAGAAATGAGATTTATGAAGTTATCCCGGTGATTAGTTTCAGTAATTTCATTGCAGTTGTTCAGCATTGTTTTATCATTACATCCTTACCATATGATCACTTTTTATCAATCCATTTGTTTCCTTTTATCTACTTTTAACCTCGACATTAACTTAGCTTTGATTTTTTTCTCACACTACAAACTCCAATTCACTAATTTTACATATATATCATACAACAAATCGTCGCATACCTTACAAGGAAAAGTGTCACTTGTTGAGTCCTAAAGAACTTCAAATTATTTGAAGTAATAGTATTGAATAATTATATGTTACTTCTCGTAGAAGAAAATGGATAATTTTGCATTCTTATTAGATGAGAAATTTCAAAAATTCAATTATCCCTGAAAGATAATTTTAGAATTAAAATTTTCCTAACATAAATTTAAAACAATTACTAATATTTGTTGTTTGATTTCCAATTTCTTAAAGAAAAATCTATTACTAAATTCAATATAATCGTAATCGTAAGGATAAGAAGTTATTTAATAAATGCAGCAAGTACTTAAATACTGGTAAAAATTCACTGCACAACTACAATTTTTAATCATTCATTTAAAATCATTGAAAGAAATTATATCATTCTCATTTCATTTGATCAATCGGGCCTTTTCATCTGTTTCATAATATCTTATCATAAATCATTTGTTTTTTTTTTACTGCTTAATTGAAATCATTTGAATTTACAAAGTTTATTTTTTAACTTCTTTTTATCACTCATTAAATAATTTCTATAAGAAATTAGTAATTAAATATGCAGATTTCAATAAACAATAAACAATAATAAATGGCATATATCAAAATTCAACTTAATTACATGAAAATGTGAAATTGTTTAGAGAAAATTGAATAAGACATCCACGTCAAGCGAAATTCAGACGGGAAGCGAACAATTAATGCGGTTATCGGGTGAAGATGATGAGAAATATCACGATAGTGAAGAATACGGCGGCGACGATGATCACAGCGCAGAAGCAATGTATCGTGAAGATCTTTTTGAAGGCGATATTGGTTAGCTAAGAAATTTTCTCATTCGTTAATATTATTTTTAGTCTAAAAAAAGATAGCATTCAATCATATCATATACAGCAACCATTTTTGCAGTGCTAATCGGTAATAGCAACACTTCATTTCATCGTAAATCGATGAATGGGCAAAATGTTGGTTATGAAAATCAGAACAACTCTGCTACTTCTCAAATTGAAATGAGTGCAGTAATGTTACGCAATGCGGTAAGACAAAAAACATTATTATGGCCAAAAGGACGAGTACCATACGTCATCTCTTCGGCATATGCCAATATCAGGTTCATAATATTACCATACGTCAGTCTTCTCTTCGATATATGCCAATATCAAGTTTATAATATTACCATACGTCATTTCTTCAACATATGCTAATATCAGGTTTATAATATTACTATTGTTCTATCATCTCTTTTCATTCATAGTAACATTTATATTTTTCATGTTCCAGCAAACTTATAATTTTGGAAGCATTTAAAGAATATGAACTTTTGACATGTATACGATTTGTTCCCAAACAATTATTCGATTTTGATTATATTTTTATTGTACCTCTCGACGGTTGCTATTCAATGGTTGGCAATAATGGTCCGTAAATTTTTATCAAATAATAATTATTCCGTAAATTAATAATTTTTCAAAATTTGATAAAATTTCTTCTAAATCCTATACTTATTACCTATCACTCACTCATTACGATATTTCTTTCAGTTTTGTCTTTCTCTCCACAATTATTTATGGTACTTACCACTCTCCCAATAGAATTAAAATATTGAATTATTTCAAATGATACATTCCAACAGTTTATTCATCGAATTAGTTACAGGTGGCAGACAGATATTAAGCTTAGGCGATGGATGCTTAAATAAAGGAATTGTAATTCATGAATTAATGCATGTTATTGGATTTTATCATGAACAAAGTAAATTTTCTACAAAATTATTCAACAATTTATTTAATAATTAGAAACTCTTTTTTAATTGATTGATTGATTGATTTTTATTTTTCAATTATCGTTCGATCAATAAGTATTAGTATGAAATATTTCAATTATTGCTTTCATTACTTCTTTACTTACTTCTTCGATAATAAAATTTTTGTTACTAATAAATTACTTTTTCAAACTTTGTTAATAAACTTTTTTAACTAATTATGATTAATTAGTAAAACTTTGTTAATAAACTTTTTTGACTAATTACGTCTAATTAGTAAAATATTTGTATATATGTCATATTAAATGTGAGTTCAGTTATTTTTTTCCTGATAGATCGCGCTGATCGAGATTTCTACGTGAAGATAATATGGGAGAATGTGAAGCCATCCCTTGCTGGTAAATGAATTTTGATATTTGAAGTATAGAATAAATATTTCGATAATTTTATAATTAACTTATTTTTTCTCTTCCTGAAGTTTAAAATATATACAATTGGCATAATTATCCTTTTATAAATTTAATAAGCAGTTGATTTTTTTGTTTATGAACAATTTGATAAATATTCACCAACGATAATTGATGATTTGGGCTCACCTTATGATTACGATTCTGTGACACACTATTCTGCAAAAGCATTTAGCAGAAATGGTAAACCAACTATAATCCCCAAATCTGATACCGATAAAGGTTAGTTAGAGATAGAATCATTTATTGATTGGATCAATAGAGAACTATTCGATCAATTTCTTACTTTGTAATAACAATTCATTTCATCAAAAACAATTTGATAGTCTACACTATTTGAAATATATATTGGAATATAAAATAAATCAAAAAAATTTTAGTTATCAAAATTGGTCAACGACGTGGTCTTTCTTCCATTGATGTTAAGAAAATTAAAAAATTATATAATTGCATTCAGCGTAAGTTTTAATTAAATTAAAAATTTATTCTATAATAAGCAAAATTTATTGTTTAATAAAACAATAAGCATTGTTTTACTATCAAAGTAATTTAAAATATATGAAAATTAAGAAGCACCTAATTTATATTAATAATGGATAAAATAAAATGCAAATAAACAACAATTTATCATTTTAAAAATAACGACAACTTCTGTCTCAAATGTACCAAATGTGGAAGAAGAAGAGGAAAGTAAAGAAATGGAATTATCAAGCACGATTAGTGGACAATTTACGACAACACCAGAGGCTACAACTCTTTCATCCATACCATCTACAACAGCTCGTAATATAACTCTTACATCCATATTATCAACAACTCATAATACAACTCTTTCATCAATATCACCAACAGCTCATAGTACAGCTCTTTCATCCATGTCATCAACAGCTCATAATACAATAATACAACGACCATTGCCGAAATTACAAAAAAAACAAATGATATTCAAGGATTCAAAATTTCAAGGTACCTTCGTCATTTATATCAACTTACATGAATGATTCAACAAGTCCATTTTCTGTGATAAAAATTAGTGTTATAGCAATATCTGATCTAACAATTGTCGCTTCGACAAGTATGCCATTTTATGACTAGTAAAGACGACTGATTAAATTAACCTCTAAGAATATATTGGCAAGATCTTTCTTTTCAGGCATTGTATCTTAGAGAATGCGAAATTGCACCGATCGATGGCCGTCCTTATTGACAAGTATTAAGGACTCGCAACTTTTACAACATTTATTTAGTTACATTTTGTATAGAATTATTGTGCATTCAGCTATAAAAATGTTGTAAACATTATGGCAAATATAATCGCTTTAAATTATGTCATTTTTTTCTTTTAGAAAATTTTAATTCGATTTATTGAAATAATAGAAATTTATGAGTTACAAGTCATCAGCACATATACTATCCTCACTTTAAATATAATATAGTATGTTGAAGTATAGAATTATTTTAGGATCTGAATTAAGACTAAACATTTCCCTTTAGTTAATTGTCATTCTTCAATGAACGATAACCAATGCTGTAAATGAATAATGCATAAAAATAATTTATTATATTTATTAATTGAATGTTGAAAAAGAATCAAAGAAATTAACATATCAATTCTTATTCAAAAACTTCTTTATAAATGATTAATTAATCATTTTTAAACTAAATAATTTAAATCCTTAAAATTTTTGATAAATGCATCTATTAAAATCTCTTGCATTATATTTATCAATTAATTTTGTAATGATTTTAAAAATGTAAGGATCGATTTTGCAAAACAAACCAATAAACGATCACTAAGAAAATGATAAATTATTATGGAATATTTGCAACTCATCGAACTTACTAATATTCTATTTGTGCGATAGCTAATGCATTATAATAAGAGATTAATGCAGGGGATTATCTGGGGGTTTATACAGAGGTTTATGAACTATTTGTATGGTGTTTTAAGAATTATATAGTTCGCATGGACAACATATCAATGTAAAAAATTTGGCATTATTTTTAACACATAGTTGTTTGCTTATCATATAAGTCACACTTGCAAAATATACCTGTAATTGTGAAAATTAAAGAAAATAATTTGATATTACCAAATCAGTGATAAGAATTGTTAAATAATTTTTTCTAAAAAACAAATGAAATAATTCTATTAAAATTACTCATCGATCTGATCTATTCTACAAAATTCACTGCCACTAAAAAATTGTTCACCAGCAAAAATACTGCAATATCGCGGTGTAACAGTTCGTTAAATTTCTTCAAAATTATGCATTTAACTGTTATTTTTCGCTTTTCTTTTTTTTTCAACAACTACCGTTATTACAGTATTGTTTATATATTCCTGAAAGGGACAACATACAATTATTATCAATTCATGATTTGATTTAGTTAATAATAAGATAATCCTGAATTACAACTCTTAACTGTCCCTATCGCTCTCATCTGAAATGAACAATTTTTATAGATTTTAATCTGGAATTTTTAGAAATGAAAATTTGTTTTATGTCAGAAATCTTTTGACGAAAAAAAATTTTTCTTTTTTCATATTCATTTCATTGAAAGATTTGTTGAAATTTGAGGAAGCTTTAAAGTTTTTGATTTTTTCAAAATTTTCTACAATGATTGATACATGCATATATATGTATGTATGTATCATTGGTTGTAGAAATCAATTGAAGTATGTATCAATAGTTGTAGAAATGAATTGAAGTATTATGTATCATTGGTTGTAGAAATAAAGAAATGATTGCAATCAGCGCCGAAATATTTTGTTAATCGTTTTTGTTGTATTGCGCCGAATTTTTAAAATAAAATTAAAAAAGAAGCATTGAGTAAAAATAAGTTTGTGATGTAAATTAAATTTATGCTTTACAACAGAAAGCACAAATTTTTCCATTTCAAATGTTAAAATTAATCAAATTTGCTATAAATGACAAGATGATGACTCATTCATATTTAATTTTATTTTATTCAATTTTTAAACTCTTACCAAAATGCACTTCAATCCCAATATAGCTTCGTTATTGTGTTTTATAAGTGAGTGAGCGATAATTGTTTACTGAAAAGTCCGTTCATTTTAGTTAATGATTAACCAATGCCTCAAGTATTCTAGTTATCTACCGTAATTAAAACTGAATCATGATTACGATAATGATTTAAATTTAATAATATCTTCTCTGATTATTTCATTTCAATAATTCACAGATCAAAATTTTAGTTTATTCGTGATTTGTATAATTTTGAAGTAAACATTTATAAATTATATGGCAATTGTTTTATCAAACTACGCTTTGTAATATCGAAGATTAACCATTGAAAAAATCAATGAAAATTTCTTCCTTTATTATTAATTATAGCTTATATATAATATTGTATTACTATTCTGTCAACAAAAATGAAACAAAAGATACGCATAGAATAGCACTTGAAATGCCTAAATGAGATAGATGGCAAAATTAATTTATAACAAGAAGTGGACACTTTATAATTTAATTAGGCTTTATTCGAATTTTATATAAAAGAGCCAAGAAGAGTGTAGCATTCCTTTTAGTTAGCTTATTTTGGCCATTTCTCTGACCATTCATTATCTTTGAATTAAACTTTAAATATTATTCTTTTAAACTCTTTAAGTGCTGAAATTATTTTAATTTATTTCATTCATGCAATGATAGAATTGGATGAATGAAGAAAAGGGCCAAATAAAATTGTGTGAAATGTTCTTATTGCCAAAGATATTTTTTCTGATATATGGGATATCTTGGGGGAAATACTTAGAAGAAAACAATGCATTCTTAACATTTCTAATTTTTTTTTAAAACTTTATTGCCTATTTTCTTAACAAATAAACAATTTTGTAATATTATTTATGATCAATATCATTTAGGCAAAACTTTTCATCAATTAATTATTTATTGGTTTAAATATTTTTCCCTTTTTTTTGCGCATTTCTATGCGATCATCGCAAACGTCTACGATAATCGCTCTTTTCACTAATATTTCATTGCTTAAATTGAAGAATTCTTTCACCTTGAAAATTTGCCGAATTATTCGAGCAATTTACCATCGCATACACATACATACTATAATATACAATGCTCTCCCTTCTTCTCTCAGTCATTTCATCTCTTTTCTGGGTGGCAATAAGAGAAAAAAGAAAGTGTAATTTGCTTTGATATAAATTTTTGCAACAGTTATATTGATCGATGAGCCATTCGATTGTCTACATTATTCCTCCTTCATTTCAATTTTTTTTCACATTCATCCATTGTTTTAGTGGAAGCGGAATAATGTTCCGTTAACCGGATTTCATGCTTCAAAGGATTTTTCTTTATTCTAACTGAAGAAGAACAAAGAAAAGAATAGAAATAGAAAGAAGCGAATGATCGCATTAATTTCATTTTGCTTTAAAATTTTTGCGTGATTTTAAAATTTCATATTTGTTTAGAATTCTATCAATTATTGATTGAATATTATCGATCGCTTCCTAAAATTTTTCATTTTTATTAAATCAGATCAATTTTTAAATTTTAAGATAATTCTCTTTAATTTCTAATTGAAAAACAATATATAATTCTTTATCGATCAGACTGATAAGTCTTTGTGTAAATTTGTTTTCTTCAATAAACTAAAAAACAAATTAAATTAACCTACAAATATTAGAAGTGTGGAATGTTAGGATTTACAGAGAAAATTTGGAATCTATTATTGTTCATTCTACTGATATAATTTTGATAATTTTAATAATGAATTAATAAGCGCTTATTTAAATAATGTAATTAATTAGATGAACAAATGGTTGGTCTCATCTATCCGATTGCATTTCTCATGCAAACATATAATACCAACTGAAAAATTATTTTTCTAAAGTAATATGTTTTTCAAAGATTTTTTTTAAATGATTAATTCTCATTTCAAAAATCAGTTTGGCAATGAAAAGATTGAATTAATGAGAAACTAACCATTTACTTTTTACCGATGCTGTCAGTACAAAAAGAATTCAAAGATATTTTCTCTTCAAAATGATAATTCATTTTTTTCTTTCCACCGAAAAAGATATTAATTATCTTTTTTGTTAATTAATTAAGTAAGATCAAAAGTTTTAGAAACTAATTGGATTGATAAAATGATTGTTATAATAAATTTAGTATGTATTGAATATTTTGTGTAAAATACCAATCTTTCATCGATGATTGAGCAAAGAAAGATATATGTTATAGATTAAATTATCCCGTCTGACAAGAAATGATCGATTTCGAAATTAATTTTGATAGCTGAACAATTTGGTATATTCACATTTCAAACAATTTTACATTTCAAATATTACTATTATTAAAATTTATTATTACTTTATTCTCTTTCCTTTTCATCATTTAAAAAGCATTTGTAACAGGAACAGGTTACCTTCGCCAGATAGTCTGAAATTAAAATCAGAAATTGGGAGAGATTGATAAATAATAATGTTTGGTTGAAAATTTTAATCGGTTGTTATCCATTCCTTTAAATGTAACAATCTTTTGCTTTGTGCTTTGTGCATGAATTTTTAGTTGTAATTGGAAACCAGTCATTGTTGGTAGGCTGACGATTAATTAAGATCAAAATTGAAGATTCAAGATAGGTCATCATCATCATCATCATCATCGATTTTTGCTCATCTATATAAATCGCGGTATAGCTAATTATTTTCTGATTCATTTCCATGGCAGCTTTTACATGATATCTTCTGCAATGAATTTTCTCTCACATGTTTTCTTTTCTCCAGAAATTGAAGTATTTCGATTTTAAATTTTAGGAAAAACATATTAAAATTTTATAAACTGTCAACACTTTTAGTATCTAAGTTAAAAATTTGGAGACTAAATTTTAAAATTTTTACTTTTTCTAATCAAAAGTTTTGCAGATGATAATTTCTTTGATTATCTTCTGTTTCCTGAAGTTTATAAATTTTATTACTATATTTTTCTATCTAATTAAAAATCTCTAATTATCAAAATCTCTGTACAATAACTATTGTTGTAAAATATTTCGATGCAATTGGATTGTGTTATTTCAGAGTGATTTCTTCTGTAAGTTACTTTAGCAGAATTTCACAGCAA